AAGTGAGAATGGAAAAGTGTTCATTAAAATGGGAATCATTTTTCAAGGTGTAATATCATTCCATATTGACTGAATCATTCGCCTAAACCATTCCATATTGAATTGACCAGTAACAATAAAATAGGTGAACATGAAGCCAAGAGAAGCCAAGAAAAAGTCTGAGAAAATGATGACAAGAAGTACAGATTGATGGAAACGCTCGATTCATATCAAACCAGTAAATAATCTTGTTCATTAAACGCCTCAAGCAATGATCATATTGGAAATAAAGATTGAAAGTTGCAACGAAAATAGTAAAAATATGACAAAATTGATGACCATTATATGTCACTAAATTCAATTTTACCCTTTTCTGGAAACAAGTGATTCTTCAACTCTTTGATAAACATTTTTGTAAACCTTTCATGTGTGATGCTCTTGTTATTGTTAGTGTTTGTTGCCATTTACAGACAACTTGACCAGCCGATATTGTGAAAGGTTGAAAAATCAAGTTTCAACTTATCTGGACAAGAAAGGAATAAAAATAACCATCAATTGGAACAAAGTTTTTTACTAAAAAAAGATAACTTTCTCAAGTAAATGGTTAACCAGAACTCAGTCTTGTATGAAAGATGAAGACTCGCAATGGAAATCGTTTCAAAGCCTTTTGGTCATCATTTGGCATTCAGATTTGTTGAGCAGTTCAATTGAACAAGTTTTTTATTATCATCATTTGCTTGGTTCCAAGAGACTCGAAAACTATGCAAAAATGGAAAGAAGCATTTTCTTCGTTTTATCTTCTTTTCATGCCTTTTTCGTCGGCTAATATCTATACAAGATAAGAACAAGCTGAGAAGAATTTTTAAGAAAAAAGAAAATCTTCTTTACATGATAAATAAATGGCTTGAACAGTTGATGTTTTTGTTGAAGCTATTTGCTCTCATCCAGGTTATGTTGGCTGACTTCAATCAAAGTTCAATGGTTCATCGAATTGCTTGGATTGATTGGAGAATCAGAATTTTCATTCCCTTTTCCTTTCACCAACATTCAAGTTATCATTTCCATTATTATCATGGCAAAGTTCACTTCATTAGCTTCATTTGTTTGATACATTTGACACTATTACAGCTAATCATGATGAGCTTTCAAGTAACCAAACAAATGTGATAATCAAAAGGCTGAGTAAATCATTTTCTTGAACAACATTCAGATCGATTCAAATAGGACAACATTTAGGACTTACGAAGTAAAAGTTTCCTTTTTTGGCTCAGCAAAAGAAAAGCTAAATTTTACTCAGAAATTCATTTCATCATGAAAAGTAATAACAATCAAAATAAAATGTTTCCTCGTGAATAAAAGAAATTAAAAAACATTTTCTCTTTCGTTACAATTCGCTTTACCATTAATGAGTTAATCTTTTCATTGGTTAACCAAAATATTTATTTTCACGTTCGCTACCGTTTCTCCTCTTCATTTTACTTGGCTTTGTACTTTTTTTGCTCAACCTTTGAAGCAAACTGCAAAAAATGGAGTAAAGATTAATAGCCTCAACATGCAATAATAATAAAATAAATTTTTTTTATTGAATCGATTAATCGATCAAAGTGTATCAGAAAAAAAAGAGTGGAGCAAGTTGAGAGAAAGTTGTTGAACAGTTTCAAAAGGATGATGAAGATGAAATTGGGAGTGAAAGGGATGCGAAGGAAGAGAGGGAAAGAGAGGAAAAGTGAAACTAATCGCAACTTTTTTCGCCTCTTTTTCGTTCATCATGATAAAAATCTGTAAACAATTTACAGTGAACTATCAAAAGTGACTTTCTATGTTATCATCATTGTTATTTTACCAATAGCTTGTGACTCTTTTACAACATTGATGATATCACACCTATCAAATGTCAATTAAAGGAAGGGAGAGAAAAACAAAATCAATCAGAAAATAGCTTTATTCTAAAAACTTTGCTCCATTGTTTTCAGTTATTTTCAGGGAAAAACTGATCCGAATGTGTAACTTGTCAGGTCTCGTTTAGATTGATGGATTGACTTTTGTTTTGATGCATCAAAATTTGTCTCAATAAATATCGTTCAATGAAAATTAAGACTCAAAAATATGAATGTAAAAAAACTTTAATAATTTTTAAAAAATCCTTTGAACATTTATTTCCCATGGCATCACAGTCTAGACTTAATACACAACTTTTTTCGCCATTTTAAGCCGTTTTAAATCTATTTTTACAAAAACGTGAAAAAAATGCCGTTCGAGTGAAGCAGCTTTTAGAGGCACAGATACAAAGCCATCTCAAGATTGTGACTTTTTTCCCTCCGTGGTTGATAGCGGCCGCTACATCATCCCGAAGAGCACTCAGAGCTTGGTGGAAACTATCATATGAGTAAGATATAATAAAAAGAAAGAAATGCCTCTTTGAATCTCTTCTCTTCTGGTTCATTTTCCTCTGTTTTCTGTCGGACAATCCTCCTTGACACACTGCACAGTGGGTCTAGTGTGATGCCCACAAGCTGCTTTTAACTAATCCTGGAGTTTCTTGTTTTTGACTTTTTATTATTTCAATTGTTGATCTTTGAAAGATCAATCAAACCTAGAAGAATATCCAACTTGATCTTTTACTTGACCTATTCCATCCTGACAGTCAGAAAGATGGACTCAGATGAAATTTGAACACAAGCTAGAAGTTTGACTTGATACTCTTTGGCCTTTTTATTTGGCTGCAACCTTATAGTCTGATTGTGATTTATAGCTTGAATTTTCAAGCAAAATCTTGCAAAGTGAAAGCCAAGAGAGTTGAAGTATAAAGAAGACTGAAACAAAAAAGCTAAAAAAACTCAATTTCTAATGAAAATTGATTAGCTTACTAGAGAAATAAAAGTCGTAATCAAAGCTAAAGATGAAGATAAAAATGAAGATAAACAGCAGTCAGGGATTGCATAGGAATCAAGAACAAACTGACAATAATATAAAAAAGAGTAAACTGAAAATCGTAGTTTATCATCAGAAATGAATGCAATTTTTCTTTACTGGCTTCATCGATTAATCTAGTTTGATCGGTGGAAAAAAGTTTCAAGTAAACTGAATACGACAAGAATGGTGTAACAAAAGAGTAAAAATTTTCGTTTCTATTATTGTTATCTGTTTATTATTTTGAATCTTTTTTTCATTTCACTTGTCAGTCCAATGATAAAAATTCAATTTGTAATTGTTAACTTGTTGACTTGACAATAAACAAAAGTGACTTTTCCTTTCAATTGTATATGAAGACAATGGAGACACTTTATTATTATTTATTTTCACTCATAAATTATCTCAATGTTGGAATTCATCTTGAAACTTCTCATCACAATTGCCAAATTTTGCACCAGTTTAACAGCATCATTTTTCATCATCAACAGATCAACAATCTTAATCAAATTATTTTCTTGTCTTGACTTTTCTTATTCAATTTTAACCATTTGTTTTCATTCCACAGATTTCAGATTTTCTCAGTTGTTCTCATTCAACAAATCAACTTCAAGACACATTGAAAAGAAGTTGAAAAAATCTGACGATTAATCTCTTTAATCCATTGTCGAGTGAATTTCAAATGAATAAAGAAAATGAAATTATCGACTTAAGAAAGTTTAACTTTTTTCAAAACAAAATCAAAACTTGCTGTTGAAGTAAAGTACAATTGAAATGATCAATTGATTAACTCAGCTTGACTGCAACTTAGCTTTGGATTCGGTGAAACATTACATGTCGTGAGTTTGTTCAATTTTATGAATCAATCAAGTGTGTTTGCTTATTTACTCAATTAAAGGTAAACGACAAAAGTTTGTTATCAACTTTAATTGCCTTAAGTTGAGGAAGAAAAACTTTTCAGTCTTTCATCAACCAATTTCAATCACTTTTTCACTCGCCAATAGTATCGATGAAATGCAAAGTTTAATATTTTCTTTTCTTTCTTTCTCTTTCTGCTTTATTCGCATTTGGTGAAGGCTCGATATCGACTGTTATTAAAATGCAATTCAATTGAACGTCTCACTGAACATTCAGTGGATGTCATTTATAGCTGATTGAGGGTTTTAGATCATCAAGAGTCAAAGTATTTTAATCGTTTCGAAGGATTGTCTGGACATTTTGATTGGAGAAAATTTTAAAAGAAAAAAGTTGAATTCAGATATTTATGATGACGTGAGCTAACTTTAATTGAGAAGAAAAATTTTGTTCCAAAATTTTCTAGAGTAAAAATGATGGCCACTTTTATCACTGACTTCAGGGATTCTGAGAGATTGGCTCATTTAATGTGTAGTCTTTTGTGAAACAGGCAACTAATCAACTCAACTTAATTAACACTTTAACGGTTCACAATTTATCACTTGAAGAGAGAAAAATTTTTAGCAAAACTTTTCCTTTTGTTTCACCATTTGATATGAAGAAACGTTTTTCTCCCTCAAATTAGCCAAATTACTTTTTCTCTTATCAATCATTTTTACCTTTACAACTTGCATTAATTGCTGATTATCAATTACAATAGTGTCCAGGTCAAACTAATAAAGTGAGAGTGAAATTGGGAGGAAAAAGTTTTGGTCAAGTTGTTATAAAATATGTGTATTTATATTGCTTATGATTAAAATTATTTTTTACTTTTATTTCTCAACTGACCAATTTGACAATTGAAGCTTTAGCATCTCTCTTTTCAGGATCGCCTTTTGCAATGATGGATCAGGAAGATTGAAAGATTTTTAGTGTTTTTCGTACTGACATTATCATGTGTCTGTTAGTTCATTGCTTATTAGGAAATGAAAATTGAAAATCTTTGTTCACTTTGTGTAATTCATTTTATTGGTAATATTAAACTTTGAATAGACGTAGAGTTAGAGGACTGAATTTGATTTATTTCGGGATTTACTCAGTAACCAGAAGTGATGATGACAATGGTATAAGGCTGACTAGTTAAGCCGTCCGGGTGAAGGTTTAATAGGTAGATCATGAGATCGTTGTGTAAAATGATGTGATTGAAGATGGAAGCATCAAAGCATCCAGACGAAGACACTTTCAATAAACTTGTTGCTACACCATTCAGGGACCAAATCAGGGAAGAAGTCTTCATATCCAATGTGAGCATCGGTACCAAAAAGTTTCAATAGACCTCGATTGACTTGGTGAAGTTTATGATGAGTGACTGTGTCAATGAATTGAATGTAAGAGGGTCGAAGGCAACTCGGTTCAAGCACGAGGGTAACAAAGATGATGTTGACCGAGACTGCATAGAGGAATGGTATTAAAGTATCATATGAAGGCACATAAGGCATGGAGCAGACCTGCTGTAAAGCCCATTCTAAGCACTTCCAAGTCATGTTGATGGCAATCATTGAGCTTGGATAGTATGCCATTGCAGGACCAGACAGAGCTCCAGCTACAGCCGAATGCCAGGGTTCATTTGTGCCGGTGAACCAACGAAGAGAGCACCGAGAAGAACGATATATTCCAGTGAAGAGAGATGCAAACAGGCAAAGCTCGAGTTTCTTACGGTTTGTTAAAGCTCTTAGGATTAGACTTGGATCATTACGAATGGAGGATATTTTAAGGCCAGTAACTAACGCTGCTTGGCCAAACCAAAGACTCAAAAAACTAGAAGCAAAACCTTTGAGGCTGTAAAATAGACAAGAGGAAGAGTGACCACAGGTTGCATGTTTACCTGACATGATCCAAGTAGACAGTCTTTTCATTAAAACTAATGGAGAGAAACTATTTTGTTGACCAACTTCGTGTTTGACCAGCGAACTATTTGACTCATATGTTGTTTCTTGCAACACTTCCAATCGATGGTTTAACTCGGTTGTTATTATCAATGAAATCGTTATTATTTTCACTGTTCTTTGCCTCAACTGACTCAATAGCAGAGGTTGACTTTGATGATTTAAACTCAGTTTTACCGAGTATCAACTTCAAAGCCATACCAATTGGATCTCGACGCAGACCATAACGTGAAGCAATGTACAAAAGCATAGAGATTGAAGCTGTGAATAGAACCACTTCACCTTTTGGCAAAGGTCGAACATAAGAGTGACGAAGAGCAACTCGATAAATACACTCAGAGGCAATGTTGGCACAATAAAAGGCTAATGCTTTACGTCGACCAGGATGTTCAATATAGATGGCCAAGTAGCTTCCAAAGAAGGCTGGAATAGCGGCAAAAAGAGAAAAGTAAAATTTACCGGAAACTTTACGTAAAACACAGACAAGGGTAAACATGGCGAGACAATTGAAGCCCAGAAAAGCCGAAGATCGTGTAATGCTTGTCAAAGTAGAAGTCAACATTTTAAAATTATATCGACGTTGAAAAGCAAAGTTAGCAAAATATAAAGCTGAATACATTCCAAGAGCTTTTTCGGTAACATCAAGTGTAAGATCAACAGCTGAAGCTGAACACGAAGGCTCCCAGGCATGGCCAATCTCGTAGCAATTGTATGGAAATGACCATTGGGTCATCAATAATTTATCAACCAATTTACTCCAAACGGAAGGCATAATTGATTGAAATTAGGACCACTAGCAAAGAGCCAAAAAACAGTCGAAAAGGAAAGGAAAGAAGTTAAACTGAAAACAAAACTTCACCAGCCATGATGAACAGTCCAAGTTGAAAGCAATCAATATTAAGATTTGGTGATATTTCGCAGACACAATAGATGAAATGCAAGTTTGATTAGTGATGAAGTGAACTCAAGAATGATTAATAAACTTGAACATGATCAAAGGTTGATTGGTTGACTGTACACTCAATCAAATGGTTTTGCGGTGATTAAAACAAGCGCAATAATGAATAGTGTTTGCTTGTAGAAATGCTCAAATTGATGAACCATTCAGTTGATAAGAATTGGTCTAAAAATTGTAACACGAAAAAGCGGAAAAGTACAAACAGAAGAAAAAATAACTTTAAATTTTAGGCGACAATGAGACTCACTTTGAATCTTTTCACGCAAATTAAACCAGAAATGAGTCTCATTCAGCTTCAGGTAATCATGAATAAAAGTAAAACAAAGAGAGAGAAAATGAGTGTCGAAAAGTTATCAAGGTTTTTTAATGAGAACCCAATGTTGTTTTAAAACAAGATGAATTGAACTTGAAAATGAGATTCTGATTTTAGTTGATTAGATAATGGTGAGAATTCAAAGTAAAAGTTTTAATCTTTTTTGCAACTGCACCGGTTGCTTCAACTGATGATTCGCAAAGACTGTAAAGGTCAGCCATTCAAGGCTTTCAGCTTTCATGGTAATCCTGTAAAACTTGACATTTGTTTCAATCGATTGTGAAGTTTATCGAATGGTTTTATAGTCGATATTCAAGTGAAGGCTCAGTCAATGTCATTTGTGGCCAGATAGGTAGACCCATCTACATGATTAACACGCTAACTTTCATGATTTACTTTTTTTGTCAACCTTTCTTTCCTTATTAACTCTTTTCAATAACTTTTAGCTTCCAAGACTTGACCAATTTGTAATACCATTCAATCCACTTTCATGAATATCTTGCTCTCAAATTTCACTCAATCTCAATGTTTTCCTTTTGTTTTGTCCTCTTTGATTGATTGACAGATCTGATAAAGTAATTTCCACGATATTAATTCTAGACTCTCAGTTTTCTCTGTGCCTTGTTCATACATTTCTCACACCTTGTCCATGAACTTGCTTCACAAATGTCTCATTTCCTCATCCATTTGACTTCTCAATTTAATCAAAACAATTTGTCAATCAAGAAGCGAAATGAATTGAATTTAAATTGCTTTAAAATTACATTGAAATTTACCTTTTCTTCTTGCTCACCAAGTTTTCTGATTATTATTCTGTGCATTTTACATAATTAAATTGCGTTCAAATTGAAAAAAATTGTCAATCCTGAGTTACCTGAATCTAAAATTGAATCAATGCACTTAACAATTTGATTCACTTTATTTACAACTTTTCCTTGTTTCACACTTGCAAGACACCTCAACTTGACCTTTACTCGACCAGGACTCTTGATTGAGCTTGTAAACGACCGCAAGTCACTGTTTATTGATGGACCGAAGTTGCTTGTTGCTTCCAACTTAGAGTGTGAAATGATGTGAAAAGCCTTAGAGTGTGAAATGGTGTGAAAAGTCTTTACCTTTGGACAAGCTAAAGTTATCGAGTGATTTCACGATTTAATTATTAATGGAGACAGTTTAGCTTTCGATGAAAAACAAGTGAAAATTTTCCATTAAATGACCTAATCAGCTTCAAGGTTTTCAAGTTTCAACTTGAGAATTGCATGGAACATTCAATGAAACATTTCTCTTTCTTGCATCGAAAGGAATGCTCAGAGTTTGTTTTTCCATGAACTGTCAACTTAATATCATAAAATTGTTGCAAAAGTTTCATAATTTTCATTTGTAACTCAAACACAATTAATAATGTTCAATGAATCATTAAAAAGCACAATAATTATCGTACTAAATCAATAAGATTGAATAGCAAATTACAATGGATACGCAATAAGAATGAAAAATTAATAACAAAAAGTAAATATCATTACGCTGTAAATGAAGATTCTGATGATGAGAAGCATTAAACAGCTAATAAATTGCTCGAAATTGTTGTTCTTGTTGTATTAGGGGTGTGAATAAGTTTCCGCCTTTTTTCGAAGAGGGTTCTAGTTCCATCGGTTCTTTTTTCAGTGACCTTTGAGTACTTTTTTCTGATAGAGCGCGTTGTCAACTAATTATAACAAAGAAAGAACGATTTGTTTCGATACATTTTAGGGGTCAAAATAGCGATTTTAGATGACGATTTTCGACCTAAAAAATAAGGTTTCGCGGGGATTGTTATAACACGATTTTTTTCGGAGAAAATCACCGAAAAAGTGTTCAAATCTTATCAAGAAACCTTTTCACCTACGCTCTACTAGATTTCACATTTAAATATTGTTTGGAAAGGCCAATAAAATATTTTGTGTAAACCGCTTCAAAAAACGGTTTTTGGCCTCAAAAACGCTATTTTTCGCTATATACTATCAGTAACTGACTCAATTGAGTCCATTGATAGGCCGAAACATAGTCTAATGCGAATTCATCAATTATTAACACGATTCCTGCAAATGAGTTTCAAACTTTGCTTAAAAAAGGCGGAAACTTATTCACACCCCTAATACTTTACATTCAATTATTATGGTTATTGTTATGATTATTGTTGCTGTCATTATCATAACCATTTATTACTATTTGTGCAATGATAATGTTTATGAAAATAAAAAATTTGAATAACTTTGTAAGTTTTATGCTTTTGTTGGATAACATTTTTTTACTTTGCATTTGCTTTCAATTAATGACAAAAATGACCGAAGTGAACAATTCAAAACATTTTTCACTTTCAAATGCATTTCAAGTTACGATCAAATTTGTCAAGACACTTTAATGTCGCTATTATTATTAATATCGTTTTGAGAGTTTCAAGTTTTCCTTTGCTCAGGTCATAAAAGTCGCACTCAGAAATTTATTTATTTGTTTTTTAACTCAGATTTATTTTCTACTCATGGTATTGAATATTAAATATTAACCATTCACTGTAAGTCATGAGTTTTGTGGTTTCGTTCAGATTCAACACTCGACATGAAATCGCATTATCATTCGCATTATAAATATTACTCGAGTCATGAGCATCTTCACAGATTCTGAGATTCCGAGCGAATTGCAATATTTAGGATTTTTCGAGAAAATGGAAATTCCATCGGCCAAGTCTTTTGATCAGCAAATCTAGTGATGAGAATTATCGGAAACTTGTGAGTTCGTTTTTAGATATCAATTTAGTGTTCATTAGTCAATTTCCTCATGAACTGCTTACATGATAATTGGAAAAAACAGGCAAGATTTGGCTCTTTTAGCTTTGCTTGTTAATCAATAAATTGTTGATCAGTTTGTTGTTCATCTTTGTTTCGCCTTTTCTTCATCACTTATCACTCATGTTTTTCCAATCTTTTGATTACTCGATACCAAATTAATAAATCAAGATGTGTCATGATTGAATCGAAAAAAGAAGTTTACCTTTTTTTGCTGTTTATCATTTTACCATGTAAACAGAGATGGAAATGTTTGATATTAAAGTAAGGTATAACATGGTAAGTAATACATCAAACAGATGGAGTAGAAAGAAGAAGAGAAAAAATGAAGGAAACAATTATTATCATGAAGCTGAATGTGAGAAGAAAATTTCTATGAGAATCTTTGAGGAAAGCGAAGAGAAACATTTTCAAGCAACAATATTGAATGGAGTTTATTCATTTTCTCGAGTTTCTCTTTTAGCCAGTTGCTGAACAAAATTTCAGTGACAAGTAATATACTCACATTGAACAGGAAATCAAGGCACATATGAATGTTGGATGTAGACCAAGTGGATAAAAACAAGTATCAAGACGTAAAGGAACATGAACAAGTTCTGATTTCATGATATTACATAATGTGTATACTATTACCATCTATCAATGGTGTTTACTCGGTTAAAACCGATTGATGAACTTGATTACACCAAAAATATAATCACATCATACAATAGCGATGAGAAAAAAAAGGAGAAAACTTTTTCTTCTCTTTTTATTCCAAGAATAATCTGATCCAATATGTTTTCCTCTTTGCTCTCTTCTTTCATCTTACACTAATCTTTTGGCTTCATCGACATATCTACATATCAATCAAAAAATCTTCATTCTATTCACATTATCCTCAACCAAAATCATTCCCTGTTTCATGATAAAAAACTGATATTTATGTATGCATACAATTTGAAGGTGTATTAAAACTTGTGATTGAATTTGCTTCAGGCTGAATCCAGAGCAAGATACAGTTAATGGATAACTATTTTAAAGTAAAAGTAAAAAGTTGACTTTTTCAATCAATACTCATGTTTTCAAAGATTTACTTTCAGTTTTTGGGTATTGAATAGACTTCTGTTTAGGAAACGATCGGCAAGAATTCAATTTACATTAGTTTTCAACTTCATGTTCGTAGCTTACGGAATGGAGTCTCGTGAAAATTATGGTGTGCCTTAGAATCATGAGTCACTATTTCTAATTAAGATGAAAACTTTGACTACATTTAGGCAGTCAATTTTATTAGATTTACTGTTGAAAGCAAATTAGTAATCAAGATGAAATGAAGTCAACAACAATTATGACAAGAACGACAGGATTTGAAAGCTGTAATTTAGCATAAACGCTCGATGCATCATGATATTAAATTTTTAATAGACAACAAAAACTACTGTCGTTTCAACGAAGAACATGACTTAAATTGATGAATCCAGTTCCGGTTGTGGTAGCTTGGATTCGGGTGAACGACGTGTAATAGCGACGGCTCTTTCATATCTCTATTGTAAATAGTCATTAAACTATGACAGTCGTAGTGCTGAAGGGCGTTTACTTGACCTCTGTCTGACATTTGAAATCATCTTCTGAAACTGTCAACACTTTTGCACAGTTGTATCAGGTTATAACTCATAGTGATCTATGATCTATTATTGTTT